GTCATTTGTTGTGTTTAAAATGAACAAAAAAAAAAAAAGGCTGCCATACTTTACTTATTAAAATTAGGAAATTTAGCCATTATGCCTGCTATCTTAAAGTAAATAGGAAAATCAGGTATTATATCTATGATATTAAAATTTGTGAGAAGAGTGCAAAGTCTGGTACTTGCGTATTAATGCCACCACAGCAGAAGTTGCGCTGATGTGCCAATAAAGAGCAATCCTGTTGTTCATACGCAGTTAATCTTTTGGATTCCTTTTGGCCTTGCTTGCTGATTTTTGATGCCATTTTTTAGTGCTACGAAAATGCGTCTTTGGGATTTGCCAAAGACAGAAAAAGATGCAATTTTATTTTTTTAGGAGCGAAATATGTTACCAAAAAAATGAAAATGTACAAATTCGCATGATATGAAACTTTATTTTGTAAATGTACGTTTTGGAAATGTAATTTAAGACAGTGTGATCAGAAAGTGGGACTTAGAAAAGACATCTTGTTTGAACGAAACAGAATTCCATTTTGTTCAGCTTTGAGATTCATATACTGCTTGTGCAAGGAGTTGATGTCGATTAAATTTTGTGAAAAGCAACTTTATTTATCGGATAAAACTTTTATAAATTGGAACAATTACATGTGTGAATTACGTGTCTTGGATATGGAGAATAAACCAAACAAGACGGTAGGTGGACCAGATTCTCTACCCTTTTTAATAAAATTATTGAAAACATTCCAGATGGTAGCACAGTTTATTCTGACAGTTGGAAAGGTTACCAAACGAATAGAAAAATCCCTACATGCTAAATACAATTTTATTGATCCTGATACAGGAGTTCATACATAAACAGTTGTGAGAATGTGGGGCAGTGCTAAATGGAGGAACAAGAGACATAGGGGGACAGCGAGACATCATTTAGAATCTTATTTAGCAGAGATCATAGGTCGACAGTATCAGGTCAAAGAAAATAGAGTCTGTTTTGAATCTGTTAAACTCTATATAGGCCTATTTTCCACCAAAATCCGATTGACTACTTTGATTCTAAATAAATTTAATTTGATTTGTCACAAACATTTTAGGGGTAGATTGTGTGCACTTAAAAACCGCCAAATCTGCAGCTGCGGTGGTGTTAATATGTAAATATGAATAACTTCTGCTGAATAGATATGATTTGTTCAAAGATTGTCAAAATATTCAGTATAATTAGTAAAACTGCCCAAAGTATATTTAAAGATCTCTCATCTGCTAATTATACCAAATATCTGACATAATTTTTTAATCTGTTTGAAAAAAATTTAATTCCTTTCAAGGATAAAACATTAGACAGCAAAAAAAGATAGCTTAAGATTTTTAATAATAAGCTGATAATTATATAATATATATGTAAGATACAACAAAATACGCTGCTTTAAATATAATTGGCGACCTCAAAATTAACTATTCTAGATTTGGTGCTCTTGCTGTAAATTCATCTTTTCTCCCAAGTTTAAGATCCTTCCATGTTATGTAACAATCAAAAATTAACCAATCGCAGATTAACTGTACTTATACATCAGACTAAGTGTAAATATGCTTGACACAATAAACTATGCCATTTCATTCCTTTCTCCAGGTGCTACTCTGCTATCCTCACTTTGCTTTGCAGATGCCTAAGTGTTACTTTTAAAATCACTGCACATAAAAATTATCATATTGAAATATGATTGGATAAATTTCTTGTCAACAAAATTGACCTGATGTGAATTATAAATGGAATAAAATTATATTTTGAAATTGCTACATCTGGAAGTTTGTGGTTTATGCATCCATCTATCTAACTATGTAGACTTCAAGCTGCAGGACATCAAAATAGCCTTTCTCAGCCATGATTTCATAAGATGATTCCTCATGCACATTAAATCAACACATATACACTAAAGAGCCAAAACATTATGACCAGCCCTGCATTTTGCAATGAACGAGCCTGGATAACGTGGAAGGCACATGATCGGGTGGAAGTGGTATTTAACTGCTGCTGGAGAGTCTGAAGAATCATTCTTTCACTTACTTCTGTGTGTGATGGGAAAGGCTTTGGATCTAAGCAACTTTGATAGAGGGCAGATTGTAATGGCTTGAAGGCTCGGAACAAGTATTTCCGAAACTGCAAGACTCGTAGGTTGTTCGCGATCTAAAGTTGTTAGTACGTATGAAAAGTGGATGAATGACGGTGAAACCAGCAGTAGACGACATGGTGTTGGACGTCCACACGCTATCAAAGAAAAAGGTCGTTGGAGACTCTCTCGCATGGTGAAGCAAAACCGGAGCCAGACAGTGGCTCAGGTGACAACCAAATACAATGCAGGGCCAAGTAGAAAAGGATCGAAGAACACTGTTCAGCAGACACTGTTGGATATGGGGCTACGCAGCAAACGTCTCACTCGTGTGCCTTTGCTGACCAAGCATCATCGCCAACTGCGCCTGCATTGGGCCTGGGAACATCGCGACTGGTCCATGGATCAGTGGGAGAGAGTTGCCTGGTCAGATGAATCACAGTTTGTCATTCATCACGCCGATGGCCGTGTCAGGATAGGCGGTCTTCCAGGCGAACAGTTGTTCCCTCAATGCACAATAGGTCATACACAGGCCAGTGGTGGCGGTATTATGCTTTGGGGGACGTTATCTTGAGCGTCTCTGGGACTTGTGGTTGTGGTAGAGCAGACCATGAATGCTACAGGGTATCTGAACATCATTGCGGACCAGTTGCACCCTGACATGGCCTCTGTTTTTCCAGCTAGAAATGGAATGTTCCAACAGGACAACGTCCCGTGTCACAAGGCTACAATTGTGTTGGCGTGGTTCCAGGAACAAGATGCTGATTTCCAGTTAATGTCCTGGCCGCCTAACTCACCGGATCTCAATCTGATAGAACACATTTGGGATGTCATGGGACGGCAGCTCAGAGGTCAAAGACCACCAATTCAAAATATCTCGGATTTGAGTGACCGTTGCTACAACATCTGGTACAGTCTATCTCCGGCCATCTATCAAGGACTTATGGCACCCATGCCAAGGCGGGTTGAAGCTGTGTTGTGCGCCAAAGGTGGCCCAACTCGTTATTGACAGGTGGTCATAATGTTTTGATTCTTAAGTGTATATATGTAGGAGGTAGGATTCAAAAGTTCCCGGACTGAGTCTATAATGTAAAAAATATTATGAATTAAATTGCAGAAACACATCTTCCTTCAAAATAAGACCCTTGTGCAACGATACACTTTTGCCAGCACTTGTAAAGTTCATCAAAGCATGTCTGCAATCCATTTTTGGGCATGTCCTTTAATTCAGCTTTTGATGCCTATTTAACTTCATCAGAAGATTGAAATCAGTGATCCTGCAAGCATCTTGCCAGTTCAGGAAATAGGAAGAAATCACAGGGTACGGGATCAGGTGAGTAAGGAGGATGAGGCAAAACAGTTGTTTTCATTTCTGCATGAAAGTCATTGATGAGTAGGGATTGGTAAGCACGAGCATTGTCATGCAACACTACCCATGACTGCTCGGCCCACATTTTTGGTCTCCTCTTCCAGATTGATTCGTGCAAATGACGCAGGATTTTGACATAGAGCTTTTTGTTTGCAGTGCATCCTTCAGGGATAAATTCCAGATGCACAGTGTCCTGGATATCGAAGAATAGCTGTAGCATGACCTTTCCTTTAGAGCAATCTTGGCAGAATTTCTGTTTCTGTGGAGATTGTGGTGATTTCCACATTGCCAATGCTCTCTTGGTTTGCGGGTCGTTCAAAAAACAACATTTCTTATATCCCGTAACAATTCTGCTGAGTAGGAAAGGATCTTTGTCAACAGCTAAGAGTAAGTCTCCTGCCACTTCCATTCGAATTCCCTTTTGGTCTACTTTTAACGTGCAAGGAACGATGTGTTGACATACCCTATGCATGTTAAGATCCTTCATCAGTATCCGCTGACATGTGGCTTCTTGATATCCCAACTGATTCTGCTATTTCGCAAATTGTTTGCCAATTGTCTGCCTGTTCGCACGTACTGCCGCAGACACCGTTTTGATACTTTCATTGGCACATGAAGTCACGGGATGGACCACAGTGTCCCTCGTCTTCTGCACTTTCCCTGCCTTCTCTGAAATAATATGCTGTTCAAATCTTGCATTCTCGATAACGTTTCACTCCCGTACCATGCTTCAACATTTCGAAGGCCTCCATAACACTTTCCCAAGCGAACACAAAATTTGATATTGATTCTATGCTCAACTGACACCATTTCTTTCTATTGCTGGTTACTAAATGCACCTGCCTACAAAAAATGCTGTTGCTACAAGCTTTCAAAAACGTAATTTGGGACAAACCACTTTTAGAAAAAGGAAGAAGGTGACACAAAAACGTTCGCTTAGTCGCACTACTGAAAAAAAAAAAATTACATTATAGACTTTGTTTGGGAACTTTTGAATCCTACAACATATATAATTTAATGTAACATAATTTTTTGATTCAAAACTGAAGGGGAAGATTTTTATTTGCTGCTTTAGAATTTGAGATGTAAGGTAGAAGTTTTCACCCAGAATAAATTTAAAATTCTGTGCTTGTTGTGGCTATGATTACAAAATTTGTGCATCAAAAAAAGTACATGTCGCATGCATCAGCTAATAGTTAAAATTTTGCATTGGATAACTAAAGAATATTTTCTATTTAAATACAAGTGATACAGTTCTAGATGCTCATATTACAAAATATGTAGTAAAATTATGCACTCAGATTGAAATTTGTGTATGATAAATCATTTATATTATGGAGTAAAAGGTTAGTAAAATGTTAAGAGAATCAGATATTTAAAAAATTATCCTTAGCGTGTTTCTGTGAAGCTACTTTTTTAACAATAAAAATAATGTAATACTTATTTTTAGTTTTTTTATTAGCCTTTCTAAGCATGTATATGAGCTATTAATAGTACATTTTCGCAGAAAAAGTTTTGAAAAATAAATAAAATATTTTTTATATGTAGTACTCAAAAGAAGCACAAGAGCAAGATACATGTGATGAAAATCATGGAGGTCTTGGAGCTGTTAATGAAACTATTAGGTATTTAACTAATTTTTCTATAAACTGATGTCTGGGGAGTTATTCACATAAAAGCATTTTTCTGAATTCTCTATTAATGAAAAAGTATCTACATTTCCATATAGGCTTTTTATTTTCTTTGTTCTAAATATTTCTCAAAACTTGGCAGGGATAAAAAAAGTGTTCATATTGAGTTTTTATCTGGCATTTGATTTTATGGGTCATGATACACTATTTATTGCTACTAGTAAAAAAGCCTTATATTTTAAATCTAAAAGAATATATTTGTGTTATTTTTCATTGGGTGAAGATAAATTTGCATTAGTTGCTAAATTAGATATCGGTATGTACATTATTATTAGATGTATGTAGATAGTATACAGTCAAATACCGAAAATCTGCCAACTCCTGAAATCCGCATTGCCTCTCAAAATATAAATATTTAGTTTATAGGTTCGGGAAATCGCAACATGGAGTACAGAATATCGAAGAAAAAATACTTACTGGTTAATGACATCATATTTACCGAATAATAATGAGTCATAACAGAAATACCAAATTATTGAGATCATGATAAGATTTTTTTTCCCTCCAATCTGCATCGAGGTAAAAAAGCAGACAATTAACTCAACTCTTCTTTCAAGTTCACGCTTCATGTTGTTGTACTTTCTGAGCTTTGTCATTTAACAAAATTGTTTAGTGATGTCGTTTTTTTTTTTTTTTTTTTTTTTTTTTTTTTTTTTTTTATCCAGATATTTTGTGGATAAATTAAGAATATTTTAAATTTCAGCGCTTTTTAATACAATGGCAGATAAGAAATGCACTCGGGATTTTACTGCTTGCAATGTTGAAAAATGTAAACATGTTGCATTGAAGGTAATGAAAAAAGTGGAAATTCTGCTAAAGAGGGAGGCAGGTGCTACTGCTTGGTTTATAGCAGAATCGTATGGAATTGCCACATGGACTGTGTATGATATACAGAACAATAAAGAAAAGCTGTTGAAATTTTATAGCAACAGTGATTCTAACACCAGAATCCGAAACCGGAAATCTTTACACGAGGCAAAATCGAAAAACCTCGATTGCTATTTTGTACGAGTGGTTCCTTTAGTGGCGGAGTGATGGGGTACCTATTTTAAGACTACTCCTGAGAGAAAAGAGAAAGCAGATTCATGCTGATTTAAAAATAGAGGAGTCTAATGTAAATGAACAATATAATATAATCAGTTTATATATGTAATAATAATTTAATGCATATAACTAATTATTGTATTAATGTATATAATAATTTAATTAAATGTATCTAATACACCTTATTTATTTTGCACTTTTAGTATGAATGTTATCTTTTCTGAAATCCGCAAAATCCAAAAATCCGCACAACCTCTGGTCCAAGCGTTGCGGATTTCTGGACTTCTACTGTATTTATATAAAATACTGCTTTAGTCTCTAAAATATTCAAGCATTTTCATCAAAAGTTATTATAGTAGGTGGTGTTTTTTGTGCTAAATCTGTTATAGAACTAGTTCAAGAAAATCTGGTGTATCATTTCTAATAGGAGCTTATTAAGTCAGTGTTTGTATTTAGTGAAATTTTATTCATCCTTTGAAACAAAGTTTGTCATTCCATTTCAATAGAACTAACCTTATTTGATACGGCTTTTTAACATTACTATCAAATAATCACCATTTGATAACATAAATTTTCATTAAAATATTAAACAGTAATGAAATTGTAAGAAAAAAATTATTGTGTGTATATTTAGCTGAAATCTCATTAGCTATAAAGACAAAAATGAAAAGTTTGAGATTGAAAACTTATCAGTGTAGAGCCTGTAAATGTTAAAACTGAAATGAAAGGAAAATTTATCATAGTTACTGCTGAATGATGAACGAAATCTTGTTACAAAAAGTGTTATGGTTCTGTAAAAGTAATGTAAATAATCTTTGATTTGGTATTGAAAAAGGTACAAATCTTTACTTATTGCATAGATTTATATTACATTCTTAAATTTATAATAATTAGCAGGAGTATATCTAATATTTTTTTACATAATTTTTAAAGATCTTTAACATATCTTATAATTTTTCTGCAGTGATGAAAATTATGCAGGTTTCGAACGTTGGCAGAAACATGATGATTCTGTAGATACATTTTGTGAAATGGATGGTATGTATATAATTTTTTTTTTTTTTTGGTGATAAGATCTCTAGAGCTAATGTATTATCAATTAAAACTTCAGTTTTAAATTAAAACCTATTTCCTTGATTGTCTGTGGTTATTTTGACATTTCAAATATCAAGTGTCATCAGAAGATTTCAAGATTCTGCTGGCTTTGATCAATGCATGCATAATAAAATCATGTGCGTGCTGTTAATGATGAACAAATACAACCCTCAGATCAGTAGCCATTACAGCAAATCTGTATTAGACAAGCTTGGAATGCTTCTGTAAGCATATGGCTATGAAGCAATAACTTGATTGAGTTGTTGTGGATGGCAGGATGTCATTAGATGTGATGGGAGCTCGGGGCAATTCTTTATGAGCAAAGTGTTGGAAAATGTTAAAGAAGTCGTATATCTTGTGCATCCATTAAGACCATTAAATTGACATTAAGAAAAGTGGCAGTATTTAGAAAAGAATGTTACATTCAGTTTTAAAATGCAATCACTTAAATTCATACCAAGGTTCTATACTCTTAAAGGGAAAGGGTATCATGCCAAATCTTACTAAATCTCCATCAACAGGCCCAGGATGATCTAATTTTTCATGCCATGAGTTGTAACTTGTGAACTAGTAACGAGAGTTATGTATATGGCAGCAATTCAGAAATCAAACAGTTGTGGCAGTTAAGAGTCCACTCTCTTCAAAACTGAAGAAAAGGAGAGTCAAGAGCATGATTAAAAGTATGCTTAACTTTTTTTTTTTTTTTTTTTTAGCAGCGATCAAGGAGTTATATATGATAAACTAATTCCTTCAAGATCAGAGTATTGATGCCAGATTTTATTATAGCTTTCTGAGGTGTATGAAAGATGACATTCAAAACATATAATATAAAGCTGTGGTAAGAATGCAGTAGAATACTTCATCATAACATATGAGGGTAAGGTGAAAAGTTCTCAGCCTGTTAATGAGACTTCAAATTTCAGTTTAAAAAAAAAAGTATTTTTCTACATAATCTTCCTTGACTTCAACACACTTGGTCCAGTGTTTCTTCAACATCAGTCAGTATTCCTTCCCGAAAGTGAGAGTCTGGAAGGATATGAAAATATTCATCTATAACCCTCTCAACTTCATGGGATTTTAAGCACTTCTCAGAAACAAATTTCTTCAATTTTGGAAACAGATGGAAGTATGAGGGTGGCAAATCAGGAGAATACGTGGGGAATGGCCGGGCAAATGGTACCCTGAATCCGCAGTTTGCCCATTGCCAACACACCCTTGTGCACAGGTGTGTTGTCCTTGTGAAAGATGATTTTTTTTCTTCTTCAAGCCAGGACCTTTCTTGCGAATTTTCGCATCCATCTGGTCAAGAAGGTTGGTGTAATATTCGCCTGTAATTGTTTTTCCTTTTGTAAGGTAATCAATTAATAGGACCCCTTTCATATCCCAAAACACACTAGCCATGACCTACCTTTCCAATACATTGACTTCGCTTTGTTTGGCGCTGAACCACCAGCTTCCATTCACTGCTTTGACTGTTGTTTTGTTTCTGGCGTGTAATGACAGATCTATGTCTCAGCCACGGTGACAGATTGGCACACAAAATTGGTAGGATTCCTGTTGAATCGGCCCAACGTTTGCGCATTTGCTTTTGATCGGCATTTAGCAATCGTAAGTGTTGGCTTTAGTTTTCCACATGTAAATTTTGCTAGAAGTTCAATCGGCGGTAAGCTAACGTGGTTGCCGCTGATTGGCCGATGACGTCAAGTTCGGCGGATTGGCCGAGTATTATATATATGTACGCCGGTATCAGCGAATGTTTTTTGTTCTCTTGTGTTATTATGAGTTAGCATAATGCTAGTTTACTTTCAATCAAATGATTTTAAATGTAAAGGCTACAGTGTTAGCTCTTTTATTTTAATTTACAGAATAAAGCATGGATTTTATATAGATTAGTCTTAGCTTTATTTAAGGGAAGCAAAATATGCTTTGCCTTTATCACCACTGCCAACAGGGTTATGGGCCCAGTGCCAACAGCTAATCGGTCATCCAGTTCAACTCAGCATTGAAGGAATGTAGATGAAGAGGGCCGTTATCCACGAAAAGAAGCTGACCTGTCTTAGAAGTTTGTCCAAGTTGTTGTGCTCCCACTTAATTGAAGATGTCATTACTACCTGAAGGTTTTGAGCTGTTAAACCATGACAACTGGGATTGATGGCAAGTCGACATGAAAAATGCTGTTACTGGATGGAAATTGTTGGAGCTTCATAGAGGACAAAAAAGAAGAATTAGATAAAAGTGCAACAAGGCGTGAAAAGCAGGATTTCACACTAAAAGAGAACAGAGCCTTCACTACATTATATTATGGAATTAAAGTTGAGTTCAGGCCGCTGATACAAGAATGTTCAAGTGGTAAAGAAGCATGGGAAGTTCTACAGAAGCAATTCGAACGCAAAACAAGAGCAAAAATAATTCAGTTACTGGATGCATTTTTTAGTATTAGATATACACCAAATGAAGAAATGGGATTGTTCATCGCGGCGATAAGAATGACTGCAAAGAAGTTGTCTGAAGCTGGTCACAACTTGGCAGATCTTTTTAAAGGATTTCAGGCAATAAGGAGATTACCCCAGGAATACTCCGGCATTGTACAGTTGATCTATAGGTGGAAGGACGAAGATTTTACGCTGGAAAGAATTGCTGAAGAACTGGTAAGGGAAGAAAGCCGACTTCGCCAGGTAAATGCCGATTTAGAAGACAGCAAGGTAAGCGTGTTTAATACTATTGATTCAAATGCAGGGAAAGATAAAGTTGAAAATAAAACTAAATCTAAGAAAAAGATGGGAAATATGAGAATAGGACCTTGTTTCAGATGTCATAAATTTGGGCACTTAATCGCTCAATGTAAAGAAAATGTAAGTAAAAATCAGAAGTTTAAAATAGACGATAAAAATGGACAGTTTAAAGATAAAGAATTAATGTTAGTAGAAAATTATGTAACAACTACAGATAAAGGAGGTAATGCAGATAAATTTAATTGGGTCGTAGATACTGCAGCTACAACACATTTCTGTAATAATAGAAATTTAATGACAACTTTCGAAGAAATAAACTATATACGTATGTCTTTAGCTGTAGGAAATTGTGAAAGTAAAGTACTAGGAAAGGGTACCGTCAAATCTGCAGTAAAAGTAGGCAATCGAATAAATTGGATTGCGTTAGATAATGTGTTATATAATCCAAATCTAAGGAGAAATTTACTATCGGGAGCAAGGTTAGAAAAGGCAGGTGCTCATTTTGTGACTTGGATGTGGAGGATGTGGATATACTTTAATAATTGTGATAGATTATGCTATGCTAAACGATATGACAGACTTTATCACGTAAAACCATTTAGATATGCAACAGGTAAAAGGGAAGCTGGTTACGGTACAGAAATTGGAAGGTTAAAGTAGACGATGCAATGCTATGGCATCGGAGATTTAGCCACGTAAATTTTGATTATATTAAAAAACTAGTAAGAATCAAAGCGTGAAAGGGTTACCAGAAATTGGAAAACCAATGGAGAGGTGTGAATCGTGTATTATTGCTAAATCTAGTAAAATAACTTTTAAAACTGTTTTGAAGAGATCGGATAAACCATTGGAGTTGGTTTATTTAGACGTTTGTCGCCCACTACCAGTTCCATCTAAGGGTGGAAGTAAATATTTTCTTGCTATTGTAGATGACTATAGTAGATTAGTAACAGTGTATTGCATGAAAAATAAAAATGAATCGTTCTACAACTTTAAGAACTATCATAGGCAAATGGAAAGACTGACGAATAGAAAATTAATAAGTATACGCACCGATAACGGTGGGGAATTCTGTAACAGGCAATTCGAAGGGTACTTAGCCGAAAATGGAATTAGTGTTGAACGCACAAACGCGTACACCCCAGAAGAGAACGGTGTGTGTGAACGTTTTAAACCGAACGGCATTAGACACAGTTAAATTAAAGCTATGCTTAAGTGATGGTAAAATGGGAAAAGGGATGGTGGGCAGAAGCTCTTGGCTGTTTTCGTACATACGTGGAACAGAGTATGTCATAAAAGCAACCGAACCCCTTATGAAATGTGTTCCTAAATAAGAAAACCCAGTGTTGTTTATTTTAAATATTTGGTTGTAAAGCCTATGTTGGTGTGCCAAAACAGATTAGAAATAAATTACAAATGAGGTGCAAAGAAGAAGGAATCATGGTAGGGTATGTGAAGGAAACTAGGGGTTATAGGAATGTGGCTATTAGAAGAACGCAGATTAATAGAAACCTGTAATGTGAAGTTCGATGAAAAACTGAATGCAGCAAATGGCATCCTGGATACAGAAATCAAAAACTAAGTTTAAAAGACTAGAGGAATCTGAGCTATTAGCAGAATCAGATGAAGAACAGGAAACTTCTAGAGAAGAAATAAAGTTGTCAGATGACAAATCTACTCCCGAAAGAAGTATCAGTATCAGACTTAAACTGGCAAAGAAAAGCAGTTAAAAGGCCAGATGAAACACGTACAGACATATATTATTATGTAGAGGGAACAGACACCCCGTTTTAGATCCTATAATGATATTGAAAAAATATTGTGAGGCAAGAAATATTAAATTTGAAAAAGATAAGTTCGATTTTAGTGGAAAAAACGAATACTCGGGGAAAGTTAATTTTGTAGAACAAGGAGACTAGCTCCGTGTCTGAAGAGGCAAATTCCGTAGAAATTGTTATCCCACAAAATTTTAAAGAAGCACAAAAAATCAGTAAATGCCGAAGAATGGGATAAGGCAATGAAAAGAAAATTGACACAATGAAGAAAAGAAAGGTTTGGGAATAGTCGAAAAGCCAGAAAATAAAACTATGATAGGAAACAAATTGGGTCTATATGCTAAAAAGAAATGAAAAGAATCAAGTGGTTAGATACAAAGCACGTTTAGTAGCACAGGGATTCAGGCAGAAGAAAAGAGGTGAAGATTTTGATGAC